GTGCACATGAGATGTATTCTATAGATGCCCTTTAGCCAAACAGATCAATAGTGCTCTTCGAGTCTTCTAGAATCTTGCCAATTTTCTGTTTAGTTGCTCTACCAATTATTGAGAGAGGAGTACTGAAATCTCTCTTTCTTTTTTTTTTTGCGGTACGCGGGCCTCTCACTGTTGTGGCCTCTCCCGTTGTGGAGCACAGGTTTTGGACGTGCAGGCTCAGCAGCCATGGCTCACGGGCCTAGCCGCTCCGCGGCATGTGGGATCTTCCCAGACCGGGGCACAAACCCGTGTCCCCTGCGTTGGCAGGCGGACTCTCAACCACTGTGCCACCAGGGAAGCCCCTGAAATCTCTTAACTATAATTTATGAACTGTCTACTTCTCTTAGCAATTCTATCAGTTTATGCCTCAGATATTTTGGGATTCTGTTGTTAGGTACATACACATTTGTTACTGGTATATCTTCCCATGTACTGTTAAAAAATGTCCCTCTTTGGCTCTAGGAATATTTTTTTGTCTTAAAGTCAATTTTATCTGATATTAATATAGTCATTCTAGTTTTCTTATGGTTACTTATGGTATATCTTTCCTCATCCTTTTACCTAAGGATCTAATGGTTGTCTCTTATAGACAATATATAATTAGGGGGGCTTCCCTGGTGGCGCAATGGTTGAGAGTCCACCTGCCAATGGCGGCTGGGCCCGTGAGCCATGGCTGCTGAGCCTGCGCATCTGGAGCCTGTGCTCCGCAACGGGAGAGACCACAACAGTGAGAGGCCTGCGTACCGCAAAAAAGAAAAAAAAGAAAAAAAAATATATATATATATATATATAATTAGGCTGGATCTTGACTTTTTTATCTGCTCTGACAATCTCTGCCTTTTGATTGGGGTGTTTAGACTACTCACATTAGATGCAATTATTGATCTGGTTGGATTTACATTTATCACTTAGCTGTTTTCTACATGTCTTCCTTCTTTTTTGTTCTTCTGTTCCTCATTGACTGCTTTCTTTTGTGTTAAATATTTAATGTACCACAATTCTTCTGTTGATTTTTTAAAACTATATTTTAAAGTTATTTTCTTAATAGTTGCTCTAGGGATTACAATAAGCATTTTATTAACAATACAGTCTGCTTCAGATTAACACTAACCTGATCCCGGTAAAATATAGAAACTCTACTCCAATACAGCTCCATTTCATTCCTCCTGTTTTGTACTGTTGTTGACCCGTATATCACGTGTCTATATATGTTATAAATACGACAGATTGTTATATGCCTTTGGTCAACTGCCAAAGAGCTATGGTTGTTTTTGTCAATTCTATCCAGTGTTATGGTTAATGCTTCATATGATGTTATGTCTTTTAACTAAGAAGAAATGAGAAAAAAATGTCTTTTCTATTAGCCCACATATTTACCATTTCCAGTGCTCTTTATTTCTTCCTGTGAATGTACGTTACCAACATGTCACTTCCTTTCAGCCTGAAGAACCAGCAGGTCTGCCAGCAACAAATCCTCTCAGTCTTTGTTTATCTGAGAATCTTTTTGCTTTCGTTTCTGAAGGAGAGTTCTGATGCACTGAGAATTCTGGGTTGACAATTTTCTTCTTTGAGTACTTTGAATGCCATTCAGTTCCCTTTTGGTTTCCATTTGAATGTCTCAGGTGAGAAGTCAGCTGTTAATTATATTAATGCTTCCCCTGTATGTGATGAGTTGTTTTTCTCTTGCTACTTTCAAGATTTTCCCTTTTTCTCTGGGTTGTAACAGTTTGACTCTGATGTGTCTAGGTATAGATCTCTTTGTATTTATGCTACTTGAGGTTTGTTAAGCTTCTTGGATAAGCTTCTGCTCAAATACATGTTTGGCCATTCTTTCTTCAAATTGTTTTTCTGTCTTGACCCCAAACATGTCTGCAACCTTGGGCTAATACAGCCACTGTCCCTCCCCACCTACCCATCTCCAAAACTGTCACTTTAACCAACAAGGCCATGGGCAGGGCTGTTGCCCACCACTCTAAATTGAGTGAGCCCCTTCTCACCCCTGCAGAGAAGCTGTTGGTCCTTACAGCCTGCACTGGCTAGGCAGAACTTCCCTACCAAGAGAGCTGGGGAGAGGGCATGAGAGGAGCCCCAGGTCAAATGCCACATATTCTCACCATTTTTACCCAGAGTTCAGCAGTTTCTTAAGCACAAACACTTCGCAGATTGTTGTGTGCTTCTGGTCAATTTCCAGAGTGTTGAAATGGCTGATTTTGGGGGGTCAATTCTGTGCTGCTTCGTAGTTGTTTTTTTGGGGAAAGGATTTGACAGTTTCTCCTCATTCAATCACTGCTGGAAGCTGCCCTCCAGCCCTGATTTATTTTGAAAATAAAACACACACACATTGGGAGACTAAGTCAGAAAAAATGCCAAAGAGAGATGAAGAGGGGAACTGCAGAGAAGGAGAGAACTGATCCTACCATTTTATCGATATCCGCATACTCTAAATCTCCCCAATGTCGCTTAAAAAAAAAAAAAAAAAGTTGTATCTTGGTGATTTTAATTCACCAGCACTTCCTTAAAGAAAAAGGAAATTCTCTCTGCTAGAAGCCACCAGAAACCCCCCTCTAGCCTTCAATATGCCTAAACTGGGTCATAAGAATAGCACAGCATGAAAGAAAGCAGTTTTTAAAAAGAGCCAAACAAATTCTAGAAAAATACTATACAGCAATGAAAAGGGTAACTATTCCTACATTCAACAACATAAGTAAATTTCACAAACATTACGTTGAATGAAAGCAAGCAAAGGGTACAGACTATATAATTCCAATTACTTAAAGTTCAAAAACAGGAAAAACTAACCTGCGCTGTTTGAAGTCAAGAAAGTGGTTACTCGGAGGGTAGTGGGCATGAGGGCGCTAGTAACGTTCTTTTTCTTGATTTGAGCTACAAGGATGTGCTCAGTTTGTGAAATGTACCAAGTCACACATGTGTACTTTTCATTATGTATGCTATACCTCAATTAAATAAAATTCTCTATATGGAGGTTCCCAAGGGATGAGCCAGACACTCTCAATGAGGATCCAAAGACTGCCTGCTTCTAACACAGAAACCATGGCCACTCACTCCAAAAAAAGATTACAGTTTTAGAATGGCTCTGGGCTGGACTTGATCCTATTATTCTGTCAAAATTCACAACTATACTTCAACAAACTAGACAGAACACTCTATGTGAGCACTCAAGGAGACACTAGCTCTATATGTGACGTTGTATTTTAAGTGAAGCTGGGAGACTGAAGGGTAGTTGTTACCAGCACTTACTTCCCTCACCACATGCCATGCACCAGGGTCAATTCTGGGCACGCATCTGTCACCCAGAGATGCAGAGCACAGATTATCATCCATTTCACAAATGAAGAAGCACGGGCCAGTATCATCTGCCCAAGGTCAGTCAGAGAGTGTGATCTGAGCCCCACTCTGCCAAAGCTGGGCTCCTTCCACAATCTCACACTGCTTCAAGAATGCCCTGGGGTCTCCCTAGTCCCACAGGAGGACCCCTGCTCTGTGTGCCTGGGTTAGTCTCTGTCTCTTGCTCTCTTACATTCTTTTATGCTCCTTCAACACTTAACCTCTCCCTCACAATTCACTGGCCTGCCCTACAGGTGATTACAGGAAAAAATGTAGACCAGGAGCCCAGGAACACAAGAGGGACCCAGTAAATCTCTGCAAGTGTGGGCTCCTCCTTCTCTTCACCCACCTGTGACATTCTGAAAGGAAAGGAAAGGGAAAGCAGACCCAAACTTAAAATTTTATTTCTAGAACTTTAAAAGAGGCCTCTGGTTTTAGAACAGGGACTGCAGAAAGCAGAGCCAGATAAAAAAGGCCTTTCTGGGTAGCAAGAACACAAAGCACACCACCCCAGACTAATACGCTTCCCCAGTAGGAGGGGGTTAGATTTTCCCATTTATCTCAAGGCGGTAAGAATTTTTAAAGCTGAGAAATACTGAGTCAGACAATCTCTGAAGTCCTTAGGACGCCAACAGTGTGGGGCCCAAATGAATTTAATGCAAAGACTGCAGGTTGGGGTCCCTCTGCGGGGTCAGTCAACACAAGGAGGCAAAGAGCACCAGGTTCTCCAGATCTGCACTTACTGCCCCTCACCCCACCCTGGGCAAACAGACATGGAAGGGAGTCTGCAGAGGAGGCACTGAGGGAGACAAGGGATAAACCACAGAGGGGCCACACACAGAGGGGCTGCGGGGCTTCTCAGGAGGCCATGGCCACCGGCTGCTGGCTCATGGGACATCAGGGTGTGAAGGGAGGGGTAAAGCAGGAGCTGGAGCTAGGCCTGCAATTCTCTTTACAGGGAGAAAAGAGGGTTTCTTAGTGAAGACATGGGGTGGTACACTGAGTCTTATTTCTTTCAAGCTTTTTCCTTAAAAGCTGAGGATTGCGAAAGTTACTCTTGAAGCAATCAGTATCGATGAAGGAGAAACCGAAAGAGCACATCACAGGAGTCCCGAACACAGGGGCCCCTCGGGCCCCTCCTCCCTGATGCACGGCCTAGGAGGAGTGGTGACGCACGTGAGAGGGCTGCGCTCCCGACTCTGCCCCTGGCCAAGTGACCCAAGCAGGGTGTAGCATCATCCCTGGCCTCCCATGCCCCAGATCTGAAAAGCAGGGAAGCTGGACCAAATGAAAAAGTTTTCCTATAAACCAGAAGCACAGAGCTAGACAGCAGGTACAAGTTTAGTGAAGGCCTGCTGTCAAGCAGGGGAGCCAACAGAGGCTACCATTCCCCCATCCTGTGAGACCCACGCCCCATGCTACAGATGTCTGGGCCCCAGGGCCCCAAGAGGGAGGTCCCTTGGCCAGGACAGTGGGGGAGGTGCCAGGGCTGGAGCCCACAGCCATCTCCATGATAAGCCACCGAAAGCTGCTTCCTGTAGGCCTGACGGCGGCTTCACCCCCACAGACCTCCTCACGCCCAGGCCTGTCCCTGGTTCCTGGACCCTCCTGCTCACCTGTGTGTGGTTCGCATGTCCACGGGCCCATCGCCCACCTGCCCTTCGCCTCTGCCCATGGCCATCGCCTCTGCGCCTCTCAGCAACCCTTGGGCTGGGCCTGCTCCCGGCTCAGGCGTCACTCTCATGTCTCCGTCAGCGTTTAACTCTGAAGCCAATATTCCTCTCTCCATTTTTATTTTCTTGCTCTCCACATCGTCCTCTGCTGCGTCCCGGTCAAGCGCTCGTTTCTGACTCCGTGTTCGGCATGCTTCTTCAGTCATTCTGAACTTTAGGGGATGGAGAAAACATGACATTTAAACTTGGCACAACGAAGTGGCTGTCTTCTCAGACTTTTCACAATGTCAGCATGGAGTGTTTTTCTCACCATGTGACAATGGCAGAAGTAGGTACAACAAATGAAGGGCCCACAAAGCGTGCCCAGGACATTTCTTCACTGCCTTGGGGAAGGCGAGGGCAGGAGCAACAGAGCATCTGGGAAGCCAAGCTATGCATCGCCCCATCCAGGGCCAGAAACCTGCAGGGACCTGGGCAGGAACAACGGAAGGTAGCTGCTTATCAGAAAGAAGGGGGAAATCTCTGCACTCCAGACTCAAGAGCAAATAGAGGAAACTGTTCTAGATCTGAATTCCCTGCCTATGGGATCCTGAGCACCTACATGGGATTGGAGGTATCTGGAATCCAAGAAGGAGGGACCATGCAGTCTCAGAAGCAGGGTCACAGCCCAACTCCAGCCCTGCACTGCACTGATGAGGGTTGACCCTTCTACTCCTGCTTCAGTGAGGGGCAGCCTTCTCACTCCCTGCTCACCTCAGGGGGGTGAGGAGTGGGGGGTCACATTTAACCCTTTGACTGACGATGAGGCGAACTTTGAGTGGGGTGAGGCCTGGCCCATCACCATGCCGGCACCCTGTACCTGCAGCATACACATATCTTGATTGAAAGAAGAAAGAAAAGAAGAAAAAAAACAGCTGAGTCAGTTTTTGATCCCATGACATCACTGGGCTCCACATGACCCTTCCCAGGATTCAGTCTGAGAGACAAAGCACTTTCCAGAAAACCAGTCTGAACCGGTTCCAGACAACAAGCTGAAGTGTTGTTAACCCTCACAGAGACAGGAGGGAAGACGGCAGTGATGTCTGTTTACAGGGAGACTGCTGGCATTCCACAACCGAGTCTGGGACACGAGTACTCGCTCTTAAAGGGGCCGCTCAGAGCCCAGCCTTGATGTCCCAGCAGGGCAGGACATGGGAAACCAGACTTCAACAGTCAGGGTCTAAAAAGCCATTCAAGAGTTCATCACAGGACAAAAAAAGAATTTAGCTGCCAGGCTCCTGAAGTACCAGTTCTCCACAGGACAGTCAATGCCCACATCTGCCAACGTGGGGGCCTGGGGAGGAGCACACTGTATGAGCCCCTCAAAGAATCCCAATTCACACCTGCAGTGCGCCTACGATGAAGACCTCCTGGACCTGTGTCCAAGCAGGCAGGACACCCAGCACCTCAGTGTCCTCACCAGCAAACACCCTGGGAGGCCTATCCTGGGTATGGCCAAGCAGAACCAGTCCCAAAGCAGCCCACCTTCTGGAGACTTGGTGGGGGTGGGGAAAGCACAGGGCATTGAAGGGGTCCCATCACTGTATTTGGGACACACTCCTGAGCTGACTCATTTGCAACCTCCTTAAAGGAGCTGATTTCACAAATGAGCAACACTGCAGGGCCCTGCCTTGGACTCAAACTGAAAGGAAGGAAAGTGACAGCTGCTTTGTGCTCCTGGCACAGGAGGCCGAGCGTCCGTCTGACACGTGTTAGGCCAGCGTGCCCCGGCCTGGACCCTCAGACATCTGCTCCCACAGGCAGTCCAAAAGGGTTGAATCAAGCAGGTTTCCCCGTGGCCATGTCACCCCCGCCCCTGGGGTGCTCCCCATTCCAGGCAGGGCTTGAGAAGTCTGAAGCTCAAGGGCACAGCCTATCAACTTGGCCTCCATCTGCCTCCAACCCCTCCTGGCATCCCAGCCTGCACCTGCTGCCCACCCCGTGCCATCTCAGCCCTCAGCCACACTCCGTCCCTCTGCTCTCACCCAGATCTCCCCATCCCCTCCTTCACCTGTAGAGGTCATCTCCTCACCACCCCAGAGGGAAGCAAGGGATGCTCCCATGTCCCTCTCAGCCTAAAGTTCTAGTTTCTGTCCTTCTCCAACATGCTTTCACCACAAATGCTGTCAGCCTGCTCACTGAGTCTGTCTGTCCTGTCTCCCCATGAGCTGCGTCTAGACAGGTCACTGCCCTGAATTGAATGTCAGTCACCCTCCCCTCCTCTCCCTCACTGTGGGAGGGATGGGTCACTTTCCTTTGGGGCACTGCCTAAACAACAGGAACTGCTCAAACGTATGGGGAATTGCATGAGAGGAATGATTTCAGCGGCCACGTTGGATAGTGGGTACCTGTGCTCCCAGGATCAGAGAGGAGCCTATTGGGGGTAAAAGATGAAGGGAGTCCAGGACCTTAGGCACGGAGGGCCCCCACTGGAGTCAAAGGAAATTCTGTCCCTAAGGGAGAAGCTCCCAGGCTGGCCTGGTGCCACTGGGGGAGGGGAGGTCCGAAGTGAACAGGGAGAATGCACCCCCCAATCCTGAACTCAGAACCGCCCCCAATACTTCCCCACTTCGCCTCTGCTCCAGCCCAGCCTGCAGGGCCCCCACCCCCAGCACAGCCTCTGGCCTTGTAAACCCCAGGCTCCAATCCATGAAGCTCATCTGAACCCCAGACCCTGCATGAAGTCCCTCCTTCCTCCCAACTGCCCACATGGACTGGGGTGGGAGGAGAGGCTGACGAGGAGGTCGCTGTGCATCAGGTCACCAGACCAGCAAGGTGGTGCCCCAGTGAACTCACTTCATTGTCACTGGTGAAGGACAAGCGGTCACAAGGGGCCAGAGTAGAGCCTCACACCCATGGGGCTGCTCCCACCAGCCCCAGAGACCATGTTAGGCCACAGTTCTGGTCGGGGTCCCCAGCAGAGGACCTGGGAGACCATCTGCTTGTGTTCTGTGTGCAGTGTCAGGGCAGCTCACTCAGAAGCTGAGGGGCTGGAACTCTGCCAACCCCAGGCACACCCTGTGCCTCTGGCAGGCTGCTGAGTGGGGGAGGGGTGCAGCAGCCTTGGCCCCCTCCCCCACCACATAAAGGGTGAGCACAGCTGGAGGGGGTGGGGCCAGCCATGGGGGATGGAGCCTCAGGCTCGGACCTCCCCCTCCTTGGGTGGAGCCTCCTCCACTGGGAAGGCGGTTGCCTTAGTGCCCACATGGGGCCTGCCACTGGCCAATCCTGGACACCAACACCACCAGGCAATTGCTCCTGGGGAGGGCAGGTGTTAGTAAGGAGTGGCCTCTCCCTCCTCTCAGCAGGAAGGACCAGTGCCCCAACCTAGCAAATCAGGGCTGGCAGCCACCGCCCTGCAGGCACAGAGGCAGGGACAGCAAAAAAAAAAAAAAAAAAAAAAAAAAAAGTTGTCAGGAAGAAACCAGCCTTGAGGAACGAAGTGCGACCTAGGAATGAAGCATGACCGACAATTTCTGCAAAATGCAGTGAGGAGGTGCATTAGAATACTTTCTAAAGAGCAGGTGAAGAGGTTGGATTACTGCAACTGACAAATTAGGATCTGCTTCAAAGCTCCTGGTGAGTGAGGGAGGGATAGCAGCCACAACAGCATAAGTTCCACCACAGGCCCGGGGAGAACTGCTGGCCCACAGAGAGCAGCCCCCTCTAATCAAGGCAGGATCCAGTGCTGGCTGCTGTCTGCAGGGACAGATCCCAACAGCAGCAAGCCCACCGTAAAGATGCGGCCACCAGGGCTGCAAAGGCTGCCTGAGACACAGGCTGCACATGGGGAGCAGGGCTGGAACCCAGGTGGCCTCAGCCCCTCCTCACTCTCTCCAAACATAACCTGGCTGGACAGGCAGGATGCAACCCAAGTCTTCCTCAGGCCAAAGAAGGGCAGGCTCCAGCCATACTAGAGGCTTCACAAGCACACAGCACAGACCAATCCCAGGATGAGTGGGCTACCAAGTCCCAGGCGGAATGCTGACACACGGCTTTGGGTTGGACGCGAATTTCAATTGCTTCTACCAAAAGATGCTTTCTTTTATTAAAATGTCACCTTCCAACTGGTCTGAGGACCTCAGGTGGAAAATCTGTTCTAAGACAACTCCAAAACGGTGAATTGTGCTGTGGCAGGAACCAGTATTTTTTTTTTTTGGCTGTGCTTGGGTCTTCGTTGCTGCACACGGGCTTTCTCTAGTTGCAGCGAGCGGGGGCTACTCTTTGTTGTGGTACGCGGGATTCTTATTGTAGTGGCTTCTCTTGTTGCAGAGCACAGGCTCTAGGAGTGCAGGCTTCAGTAGTTGCAGCATGTGGGCTCAGTAGTTGCAGCATGTGGGCTCAGTAGTTGCGGCACATGGGCCGTAGAGTGCACGGGTTTCAGTAGTTGCAGCGTGTGGGCTCAGTAGTTGTGGCGCACAGGCTGTAGGGAATGTGGGCTTCAGTAGTTGTGGCGCATGGGCTTAGATGATCCACAGCATGTGGGATCTTCCCAGATCAGGGATCGAAGCCGTGATCCCTGCATTGGCAGGCGGATTCTTAACTACTTCACCTGGGAAGTCCCAGGAACCAATATTTTTAAACAGGACTCAGAAGACTAACACTGACTCTGCACAGGGGGTGGGGCGGGGGGGGGTGTTGGTTGAGAGGGGGGATTAGATAGGCATAAGTCATACAGCCATAACTCTGAGGTTATCATTAATACTCTGTACTAGGAAATGTTATTTATACCACACTGCTACAAAATAACAGCAGGAACACTACTAGTAATACTCCTGTTTCAGGCATGAGGAAAATGAGGCTTAAGAACATGTGTTTGGGAGAAGTGACAGAGCTGATGCTCTGAAAAGGAGATGATGTGGGGTGCTTTTTCCAGAGCCCAAAGAAGGGAGTGAGCTCGATGAGGTGTCAAAAGGAGGGTGCTGAGTCTAGACTGACCTCAGGTGGAGCACAGAGGGCAGTGGGTGTGTTGGAGGGAGGGGGAGGGGGAGTGGGATCCAATTTGTTCTAAAGGATTTGGGGACAGACTGAGGCAGGGAGGTGGCAGGGGGAACAGTCAGGGGGGTTCTGTATCTCGTGGTTCAGGATGGAAAGGGAATAGAGCAGCAGGGAGACATGACCAATGCTGGGTGTACTTTAGAGGATTTAGACAACACAACATACCAACAGTTGG